GGGGGGGGTTAGAAGAGTGTCTGCACCACTGTGCAACAAAAGTTAGCTGGCGTGACAGATTACTGGGGCTACCCCCACACTGCAAGGGTTAAGTACTCATTTTGTCTAGATTCAAAAATAACAAAGTTATACTCACCTGATCCTCAAAAGATGGAAGAACTTGATGGACCTTCGTATGTGTTTCAGCCTTATCAACTATGTAAAAAAAGGAGGAGGAAGAAGAAAGACTCCAAGAAAAAAAGGTTACCTTTCTCAAGAAGCAGGATGATACCCTAGATATGATTCCCTAGTTCATCTACTGAGCAGACGGATAAACAGAAGATGGTCTTTGAATTTGTTTTTTTCGTTTTTTTGCTTGATTTTTTTCCTTATTTTTTTTTTCGACATGGACATTTAGATTGCAGAAATTTTGGGTGGAGGGTCACTTTGCAGTGTAACCCTTCAGAATTATTATGTTTATTGAGTGAAAACAACTCCAAGCTTTGTCATCTTCAATGAGCATTAAACAATTGTCAAACCAATAGTCATTTTAATAAAAGACTGCTAACTTTACATACAGCAGATCGTAGCCCTTTATGAAGATTCATAAACTTATCATAGACTTAACCTTTTCACTGCCAAGGCCTTTTTTTTTGTTTTTGTTTTTGTTTTTTTACCCACATGATATAATCTACGTTTTAGACCTGAAAATTACTTCAAAACCCCAAAACATTATTGGGGTTATTCACAAAGGAGCCAAAGGATCCAGCCCTAGCTTCGGCTGATCCTTTGGCTCTCTTCGGCCGCCGGAGCCCTTCGGTTCAGTAGAACCATAGGGCTGCTCTACGGGCTATTCACTATAGCTCGTACAGCAGCCGAAGGCTGCCGAGCGGATGGGCCGATGTACGGGTGAAATCAGCTGATGTACGACTGAAATCAGCCATACTGAGCCGTAGTGAATAGCCGAACGTTGGCACACTTCACTTCGGCTGGGTTATTCGCCGAATTATTTACCTTCGGCAGCATTGTGAATAACCCCCTATATATTTTATGAAAGCCAACACCGTGTCTTAGATCTCAGAGGAAGAGACCGAGCCTCGGGCACTTCATACTGTAAATGCAGATTCAGAGAACTCAAATTCACTTGAAGAGTTTGAAGGATCTACATTTTCTTTTGATTTTGCAACAGTTCCTGTCTTTGTTAAGGCTGTAAAGGAGGCCATTAGTTGGGAAGATGAGGAAAGTCCAGAGCCTCCAAAAAAGCAGAGGAGGTACTTCCCTGATCTGAAACGTGAACTGCCTGCATTCCTGTTTTTCTGTGAAATCTTTTCTTTTCTTTGGTGGAAGAGGAATGGGCTAGGTGAGACAAAAAGCTGAGTCTTCATAATCAGATGACTAAACTCTATCCGTTCTAGTCACAAGATATTAAAGGATGGAACACTCCTCTGAAGGTTGATGCGGCCTTACAGAGGCTTGCACGGAACATTACTCTTCCTTTAGAGAACTCTGTGTCTTTCTGTGATCCAATGGGTCGTATGCTGGAGTTTTATCTGAAAAGAATCTTCTCAGTAACAGGAGCATCCTGCAGAATGGCAGTAGTTTTGACTTCAGTATCCTGGGCCTTTTGGGCCTGGGTAGCTCAGTTGGAAAAAAGCATAAGTTTCAAGGGAGACGGCAGACCTGGTATACCTATTTAAAAACCTCAAATTGGCAGCAGATTTTGTTGCTGAAACAGTGGTTGATCAAGTAAGAATGAATACCTGGGTCATGGCTTATTTTGTGACCGCAAGAAGGGCATTATGGCTGCGCCAGTGGTTGGCTGATTCGGCCTCCAAGTAGAGTATGTCATTCCAGGGCCGTCTTTGATATTGATTGGACCCTGGGCAAACATTTTCTTGGGCCCCCCACCAAGCCAAGCCCGCTAACTGCCATGCAGTTTCTCTCTCCACCCCAACATCCTAAATCAATTTCTTTATTTTATATATTTTTTTAAATGATTGGCCCAGTAACTTAAGGAGTGTGACAATCAGCCAGCGCTGCAGATATATGAAAAATATATCTGCGGTGCTCGCTGATTGTAACACTCCTGCAGTTACTGTTTGTGAATCACCCCCCTCTGCGGCATTCACAAAGTCCAATAGAAGTGACATTTCAGACCGATCAGTTGTTCTAGGCAGATATGATCGGCTCTCTTGCACTTGCGCAGTATGCCGATCTGCCCTGGAATAGCCGACAAAGCGTTGGAATGCTTGACCCAATAGGCAGTCACACATTCCATCACTGTCAAACTGAGCGGGATTATATTGTAATGTGTGACCACGTCACCGGTCACACATTCCAACGTAGTCACAAACTTTGATAAAACACCCGCTCTGTCACTTGCAAATGTGTCCCCTGAGTAGTATCCAGTAGTGTGGGAGGAGCAGGGCACTGAGGCTCTGTCTCTCTCCAAAGCACAGGGATCAGAGCCTATCATGAATGCCTAGACCAGCCGGCCCGCCCATCTACATCATCAGTTGCTAGGCAGATGGGGCTGATTAAAAAAAAAGGTCCTGATCTTCTGATCTCTGCTGCCTGTCTGCAAGGGGATCAGAGTCTGTTATTGAGCCTGTGATCCCCGTGCTCTCCCAACTCATCCTCTTGGTTGATATCTCCCTACAGATATCTCCCAAGTCTTCAGAGAATACTATGCATCTCTATATAATATTAAAACCCATCACACGCCCCAAACTAAACAACAACACCTAGAACGTATTAATACTTACTTGGTAAATTCCCCGATTTCCAAGTTAGACAAAACCCAAATAGAAACACTAGAAAATAATATAAATGAAGATGAAATCAAACAAGCAATAGGGCATCGGCCCGGATGGATCCAAACTAAACAACAACACCTAGAACGTATTAATACTTACTTGGTAAATTCCCCGATTTCCAAGTTAGACAAAACCCAAATAGAAACACTAGAAAATAATATAAATGAAGATGAAATCAAACAAGCAATAGCGGCATCGGCCCGGATGGATTTTCCCTGAAATACTATAAAATATATCAAACTTTGCTGATACCCCAACTTAGCAATTACTTTAACACATTATTTTCTGGATCTTCCCCATTGCCGACTGCTCTACATGCACATATCTCGTTATTCCTTAAACCGGATAAGGATCCGACGATGTGTAACAGCTACAGACCCATATCGCTTCTAAATGCAGATATTAAAATATACGCTAAGATATTAGCTATGCGACTTGGCCGGCTGGTGCCCCAACTGACCCTGCCGGATCAAACGGGCTTCGTCCCTGGCCGAGAGACCAGAGATGGCACCCAACGAGCCATAAATCTTATACACTACGCCACTACCTCTTCACAACACACCATACTACTGTCGACGGAAGCGGAAAAAGCTTTCGACAGGGTCGATTGGGACTACTTAAGAGCTACCTTATTTCATATTGGGATGGGACCTCGGTTTATAACTGGAATTATGTCACTATACACAAATCCAACTGCACGCATAAAGATAAATGGATGCTTATCAGAAACGTTCCCAATATACAACGGCACAAGACAAGGATGCCCCCTATCACCATTCATTTTTGCCCTCACAATGGAACCCTTCCTCACTACCATAAGACACAATAGGGACATTAAAGGAATCACGGTTAGAGATCACGAACATAAACTGGCAGCATATGCCGATGATATTATTTTTTTTGTACAAAAACCACAGATATCACTCCCCTCATTATTGAAAGAATTTGAAACTTTTAATATAATATCAAATTTTAAAATTAACCTTATTAAATCAGAAATACTAAATATATCGACACCTCCTCATATAGTCACAACTTTGCAGAAATCTTTTCCGTTTCACTGGCAAACACAAAAGATGAAGTTCCTAGGTATTTATTTGACCCCCTCTGTCACGAATCTATTAGAAGAGACACGATCAAATGGATGCAACATCACCCATATATTTCACTCACTG